TTAATATAAGAAAACTTTGAGAATGATGATTATTTTTTTTGTATGTTACAAATGAAATCAGGGCGTAGTCATGAACTTTCCAAGAACGGGGGGGGGGGGGGGGGGGGGGAGGGCACTAGCAAAAAAAAAAGTTTTTGCTGCGTGGTCTTGTTGATCGATGAGGAAATTTAGTTTCTGTTGTNGGGGGGGGGGGGGGGGGGGGGGCGGGATGAGTGCACTAGCAGAAAAATAAGTTTTTGCTTCGTCAGAAGGCTTTTCATCTGTCTCCCCCTTTCGAGATATTTTTTTGTCTAAGGGGAAGGAAGTGCATAGATATCACTCGCATCCTCTCTGGTTACGACCCTGAGTGAAATAAGCATATAATTTGAATAGTTTCTTAGAAGAATCTTTAGAACAATTATCTATCGAATTAATAAAATTCAATCTTATTCTAATTTTAAATAAAACTATAAAAAACTCATAAATTGATTAATTATTTTTCATTTTTGTTACAAATCAAAATAGAATTTTGTTCGATAAGAATTTTTTATTTATTATTTCAATAATTTTTTAAACTATTGATTTGATTTGTTATTGGTTTTTCCGGCATAATAGATCTTTCATTGGATTCTCTTGATGGTATTTGGTCGAATAACTGAAATCAATATTTCATTTAATCTTTCTTGAATATATGAATATAATATAATTCATTCAAAGTGCCAAAATAAATTCCCGAAAAGAAGATATGAAGTCTACAGAAAAAATAAAATCATGGATTCAAGTTTTATTTCTACTTCAATAAGACTTATTTTAATGACCTATTTTTATGACGAATATTTAATTCAAATAAATATTTATTATCGTATTATTTTTTTAATTTATTTTAGATCTTGTGATTGTACACATACAATGAACAGTAAGTATTTTTTATTTACTTTAGTTTGTTTTGTTTATTTTTGATTATTTATGAAGAAATTTCTTAAACATTAGGTATGTTTTTATTATTTAACTAAATTATTTTAGTTCATTGTTTTGATTTGATAGAGGGAAGGGAGAGGAGACAATATAGTTGTATACAACACAGCATACAAAGTTCGTAACTTTTGATCTGACGAGATTCTACTTCGAAGAAAATCCTCTACTTGAGGCAAGATGGTAAGAAAAAACTTTTTACGATAGGAGCAACATGAGATGGCCTATAAAAATCTTTCCTGTTTCAGTTTTTGTTTTATATTTAAAAATTTGGACGGCAAATGTATCACTAATTGAATTATAAAGTTACTTTTTTCTAAAGAGATTCAAGTAAAAACCAGTTTAAAAATCAGCATAAAAATTTCCATTGATATTTTGACGTCTTCTTTTTTTTATTAGAAAAAATGACTAAAGTCGTTTGAAATTTCTAAAGAATAACAAATCTACTACACTCTATAGCATAAAATAATGAACAAATTCTGAACTGTCACTCAATGCTAGACATCTGAATGTTCCAGACACTCATTCTTAAGAGTTAACTTTGAACAAGCATCATCAAATAGGAAATTGTGCAATACACTTGGTGATCAATAAGTATCAATCGGCTATCATTTCATTCATTTTAGATGATGATTATCTATTAAGAAACGATTGTTAAGTCTTGTCTTTAGTTAGTTATATTTTTGTATGTAGTAAGACACTAAGATTGAGAGTATTAAAAGAAAACTATTATATTACGTTCAACATTCTATTCAACATTTCGGAAGAATATGTGCGTAATGAACTATAAGTAGTAATTGGAAGGCTTTATATTTCATCGAGAGAATAGCTTACTACTGTATATGGTTTTCAAGGTAATCAAAATATACACATCTAAAACCAACAAATATAACAATGTTTGTTTGTACAATAGTATTTTTCTTGAGATTGTTGTTCAATCGAATAATCAATAGAATTATTCTATTCAAATCAATGTTTTTAGTCTATGTGAATATTGAAATTTATACTTGAACATTTTCGAACTGATGAATTCTCATTTTGATTACTTTTTCATTGAAACATAACAAAATTTTACAAATGGATAAACTTGAAATTTTATTTCAACAAAGAATAATAATGGTAGAATCCTTTTGCATACCTCAGTGGTATTGAATCAAAAAAAAATATATTACACTTTTGAACAGTTGTTACGCATAACATTATTTGTGAAATTTTCTATAACACTTATTAACATTTCGTATATAATATATAATATGTTAAGACAAGAAAGACGTGTATTGCACTTCAGAAGAAATTATTTCGCATAGTCGACATAAAGCAGGGAATTGGAGTATCATAAGATAAGAGTACTCAATGATTGAAGATGTTTGGTCATGTTCATCTTGTTGATGTGTTAAATATTATTGTTGTTTACTTAGATTGAGTATTTCCAATTTATGGAGTAATAGAAAAGCTCGTGAGATTCGAGCAAAGAAATCTTTCACCTATAGGAAAAGAATGCTCATGAATAAACCACCAGGAAAATAGTTAGTAAATCTATGCATATATTTTTGAATGATTCATATGAAAATAGAAATGATCATTTTTTTTTTCAATGCAACCTTATATAAATATATCTATGCTCATTCTATATCATAACTAACTTCGTCAAGAATAACAATGCTAGATGACTCGATGATGTAAATTGTAACCTTGAAACATAGTCAAGTATGTTCATAAGAAAATAATAGTATTTTGTCTAGAATATCAATAACAATTGAGTCAATTGAAATATCTTTTGAACATGCTTTATGATTCATTACATTCATAGATAATTTCGAAAAATGTTTATTGAATCATATCACACTGTATAAAGACATACGATATGAGTTGACTTTTCATGACTTAATAAAACAGTCGATATTTGTTCACTTCAGATACAGTTCTCACTCCCATTCAGCCCTATGTGAAGTCATATTAAGCAGACTAAGTAAGAAAAGCTCTGTATTTAAAAAATAATTAGCGCGTTTTTATTATCGATCATCTGTATATATGACACTACTTATTAGTTGTTGATATCAAAGTAATAGAAAAAAAAATCAAAATTTTGTTCAAATTCGTACTGTCAAGGACTTCTATACAAGCAACGAACTAAAATATTATTAGCAAATAGAATGAAGCACAAAAAGATATTGCTTCTACTATTTTCATGTACTAAAATGCATCTCAATACGATTTCTTCCCTGTGTTTTTTCTTACTGCAGACCATTGCCATGTATTGTGTTTTCGATAATCAGTCTGTAGCGAAAAAGAACAGACTTCACTGCATCGATAACATGACATGTTATACATAATTAACACGTAAAATTGAAAGAACAAAACACAATATCATAAAAAAAAGATGTTATATTTGTTGAGTTGCCATATTTTTTAAGACTATCTATCGTAACAAGGCATGTACTGATTTTCAGCTGACTGGTTTCAGTATTTCCATTAATAAATAGCTTTTACTGTATTTTATTATTTATATAAAAAAAAGATTATAAAAATTAATTTTTTAAATATTCGAACAATAACTGAACTTATAGGTGTTTATACGTACAAACCAACAGAGAGACAAATATTCGATTTACTTTTATTGTATATTACATTACAAAGATATATTTGTGTATAAGTATCTAGTTAATTTCAGACTTCGTAGAAAAAAACAAGTACATAGATCGATAGAAGGCATAAATTCTTTCTCGAACAACATTAATCTATCTACAGTATTATATTTACTTGTAAAATAATTCACAAAGTAATAATTAATTTTTTATGGTACTACTACTTGATTATTTTCGTCGAATAATTTTGGAAATGTCTTTATTATTCAAGGAACCATTATGAGACTTTTTTTCGAACTTTTATCTTAACTTCACAATAAGAATAATTACTTTTAGATAGCTATAAAAAATAAATGCCAATCGGGTCGTTATACAGATAAATAAAACATTTGTTTCAATACATAATATTCAAGTATGATCTCGAAATTCAAATCAATGAGAAATATGAGAAAACTTTGATAATATTAATTTCTTTTTGTATGCCATTCATGAAATAAACATATAATTTGAATAGTTCATTAAAAAAAATATTTAGAACAATTATCTATTGAATTAATAAGATTCAATCTTATTCTAATTTTAAATAAAACTATAAAAAAACTCATAAATTGATTAATTTTTTTTCATTTTCGTTACAAATCAAAATAGAATTTTGTTCGATAAGAATTTTTTATTTATCATTTCAATAATTTTTTAAACTATTGATTTGATTTGTTATTGATTTTTCCGGCATAATAGATCTTTCATTGGATTCTCTTGATAGTATTTGGTCGAATAACTGAAATCAATATTTCATTTAATCTTCCTTGAATATGAGCATAATATAATTCATTCAAAGTACCAAAATAAATTCCCGAAAAGAAGATATATGGAGTCTATTGGAAAAACAAAATCATAGATTTTAATTTTATTTCTACTTCAATAAGATTTGTTTCAATGAATCATTTTTAAGACAAATATTTAATTCGAATAAAGATCCAAAATAAAGTTGATCAATGAAAATATATGGAGTCTAGACAAAAATGGAAATTTCAATACAAATTAATTTTTTTATTGTTCCTTTTTTTTTTTTTTTTGAATACCTGTCGTCGATCAGTAAAACAAAGAATACGAAAATAATTTTCTATTTGTTTACAATCTTGTCTTTTTTCAATATTAATCCATTCATACGAATCTTTAAATAAGAATAAACAATTTAAAATTTTCTTTTTATTCAAAATATTAAGTATACCTTTTGGTAAAAAATATTGATCAAGTATTTGTTTAACTTGTTGTGAATCAGGATCATTTAATTTACCAAATACCATTATTCTTCGAGTATTTATTTTCATATCAACGAAACGTTTTGTTGAACCAGACATATTTTATTATCTATAATCAATGAGTTAATCAAGCTTATTATCTTATCAAGCATGAATATAAATATATTTATTCGTTGTAAAAGAAGAAGAAAAAAAAATATATTTAGTCTTTTAATCGTGACGTTGGTCGTTGATCTAAAATAATTGAAATATATTTTTTATATACAATATTTTTCAATTAAACTAACTTGTAGGTTTAGCACTTGTAAGTATACGTGTTTTTTCTGAAATATTTGTTTTTTCTGATATTGGTTGTTGAAGTTGTTGTGACAATTGAATCGATTGTAAATCAAATAATTCTTTTGCTTCACGTTCTCTGAATTGTTGAAAACGAAATAATGGACTTTTTTGTGCAAGTAAGGTTTCCAATGATTGATACTCAGATGATTTTGTCGAAATATCATTCATACCCTTTTTAGAAAAAAAAAAAAAAGTATTCTTGACAATCGGAAAATATCAAAAGAGAGAGTTCATCAGGTTTCGTATTTTTTCATATTTGACTTCGATTTATTAAAAATCTGTTTAAAAAACAAAACACAGTTGGATTCCGATCTCGACAAACTTTTTTATATTAATTATAACCATATTTAGAGGTTATACTATAGAATACAGAAGAGTTTTGTTCATTTTTCATATTCGTTTTGAAAAGAGTAAAAGTTTTCTTCTTGAATAAAATTAATAGAATGATTTTTAAAAAATGAATGAAGTTATATTATGTGTCAAAAATGTTGCCCTAAATTCGACTCTATAGAGTTAATTCAATAAGAGAAAGAAACAATAGACTTCAAGACTGAAGTTTTTGTTGTTTCTCCCTCGACCCAATAAGCTTTAGTTAGAAAAACTATTTACAGAAGATTCTCAATTTTCTCACTTTCGAATGTATCATTCCTTAAATATCATAAATAATAAATAAAATTTTTACTTTTAATTCAAGTCGACATAGACCAAAAAAGTTTGTTAATGAATTTGTTGTTGATGATAAATTAAATGCATCATTAAAACTTGCTAATGCTGATTGCTGTTGAACTGATAGAAGAAATTCTCGAACACTATCAGATGTTAAATAATTTCCTAAAAGAAAAATAAATTTTTTCTTTTTTCAAAAAAATAATATATTTCTTTTTAATGTTTACGTGATAAGTTTAAACTTAAAAGAACATAATTTCCTTTCAACCATAGTTCACCATCATGTGATTCAATTTCATTTGATTCAAGTAATGGATTTTCATAATCAGTTTGTTGAATTGGTAATGATGTTGACTAGTTAATTAAAAAGAATATTCAAAGAATTATTTTTCATTATTTAAAAATAAAAAAATGTGTTAGTGAACAAGAAGAAGAAAGTCATGAATACAAAACAAAGTATTAAATACTTTTCCTGATGATGATAAATCAGATGGTCGACCCTAATAATTAAGAAAAAGTTAAAATATCTTTCTTTCTTACAAATTCAGATAAAAGAATATAGAACAAAAGCAAGAACAGGTAACAGTGATATACAGTTATGAATAAAATAAAATATAATGTCGATTCGACTTACAACGAAATCGAGTAAAATACTCAAATAATTGAGTGCTTCCTGTAGGATTTATGTGTATAAGGTGCATATTAAATTGTGATTTGTAAGAATAATAAAATAGAAAAATTTCTTTACCTGTTGTATTGCATCTTCATCTTCTTCTTTAACTATTGTAATATTCTTTTTTGCTGTGACATTAACAGTCGTTGCTACCTTTTTCATACGTGTAGGAGCATTTGTTCGAGATTGATCTGTAAAAAAAAAAAAAAGAAAATTTCGTATAGAACAAAAATCAATTAATTGATTCTATTACCTGATTCTTTGTTACTTGCATTTGATATACTAGCAGTTGTTCGTCGAGATGTATTAGCAGTTGGTGGCGAAGAATTATGTGTTGATGCACGGCTACTACTACCTTCATTTCGTCCTCGTTTTAAATCACCTTTATTTTCTGATGGTGGACGAGTTTCACCTAAACAAAAAAGTGAAATAATAATTTTCATTAATAAAAATAATCATCTTATATTTTTACTAGATTCATTTCGATTACGTTTCTCCTAAGAACGAAAGCAATCCTATAGCATAGAAGAAATGAAATATAAAAATCTATTTTACCATAATATTTTGTGCAGTTTTTGATAAATTAGGTTTTCGCTTGTTCAATTCTGGTACACGTTTTCTATCAGCTCGACTACTTCGACCTGATTTACTCTTTGTTGATACATTTGAAGGAGTTGGTGAATTTGTCTTAATTGATAAATATTATTATTATTATTATTTTATATGTATTAATAATAAAAATGATTTTTAACTAACAGAAATTCTAAATTCATCTGGATGTGTTTCAACATAACGTTTAACTATTAAATATCGACGTCGAAGGATTTCTTCTTGTGTAAGAGCAATTCTTCGAAGAACCTATTTAATAAGTATTATTTCGTTAAAAAGAAAATTTAAATTTAATAGTTAAAATAAAAACAAATTATTTAAAACAAAAGCAATATTTTTCAAATATCATTCTAAATGTGATAACATATATTATTATTGTAGGCTATGTTTGATAAAATGCACAAACGGCTTTCTTTTCTTATCAAACAAAGTCAATAAAATTAAATCGATTAGTAGGGAGAACTATATAAATAATTAAAAACAAAAACCTACCCTTATTTATATCTAAAGAAATATTTCAGAAAGATAATATTTATTATTAGAATGAAATACTTACTAATGCCAAAGGAAAAGCACCTTTGTCAGTTATAAAATTAGATGAAAGATTAAGAGATATTAATGTTCTATTATAACGTAATGCCTAAACAAACAAGAAATTCTTTTAAATTTAAATAGAATGAATATATATGATTTACTGCTGCAAAAGATTTAGCACCATTATCACCAATTCTATTTCCACTTAGATTAAGTATTAATAATTTTCGATTTTGTTTTAACATGCTACCAAGAGCATGAGCAAGTCGTTCAGCACCTGTATCAGTAATGTTACAGTAACGAAGAGATAGCTGAATAATTCTATCGATATTCAAGATAATCGATATTTAATCTATATATATAATTAAACGAAGGAAATTTTACTTTGAATCATCTTTTTCAATTAAAAGATAAAAATATTCTGCTGCTAATGGATTTCCATCGAGTGAAATATTTCTGAAAGAATTAATAAATTATTTTTTGATTATGCATATTGAGTTGTTTTTATGCTCGACAATTCAAATGAATGAATTTAATGAACCATGTGTTTCGATTATTATAACTTCAGAAAACAGAAAAAAAAAATCTTACTTCAAATTTTTTGTTATTTGACATAATTCAACTATGCCATGAATAGTTTTTTCGTTAAGACCAACATAACAGAAACTATATTTATAAGAAAATGTAGAGAGAGAGTGAGAGAGAAAAAAAATGAGAAAAGTTTAGGAAAATATAAGTTACTCAAGTGTATGTAATTGTTCTTGTAATGGAAGAACTTTTTTCAAAATATCAATAAAACGTTGATCAAGTTGCCAATCTAAATAAAGATGAAAAAAATTTAAAAAACTACAAAACTAAAATAGCAGTACCTCTTGTATAAAGAGTTGTTATTTGATCGATGGGTTCACTATCATTGCCGATTGAATCTACCAATAATTTAGGTCGAAAGAAATCACTATCATTAACTATATGAAATGTTTTATAGCTCGGTGAAGATATTTTTAGTTGTTCTTGTCCTATAAACAAGAAAGATTATTTACAAATCTATACAAAAAATTGATCTACCTGAAATACTCAATGATCTATTGTCACCATCAGCGCCTGTTATTCCTATTATAATTCCACTTTGACAAATAGAAGGCATTCTTGCACGAGATGTTTTCTTTCCTATTGTTGATGATTGTTCTTCAGCGATTCCACCAGTCAATGATGGAGTAGCTGACATTCCAGAATGCGTTCCTGTATGTTGCTGTTGTTGTTGTTGTTGCTGCTGCTGCTGACTTGGTAATTGAAATGATTGAATTAGTGCGGATGATGGTGGACGACCACGAATGTGAACAGGAATAGTTATAGGATACGCTGAACTTGGTTCACGACAACATAGTTCTAAATCAGCAGCAAATTTACCTACGCACTGCTGACTATCTGTTGAAAATTGAAGATAGAAGTTTTAAAAAAATGCAAAGTAAATATGATGACCTTGCTCTAATAATGCTCCAGCACCAGCCATACCTAACACACTCATCCCGCCTTGTGATAATTTATTTCCTTTCATAACAGTATCTGCTCGTTTTGGACCCATGATGTATAAATCAGATAAGAAGACAATCAAGAAGTCTAAAATAGGTATAATCTCTTTACCATTTTAACTTCAGCACACATCGATACACCTCCATTCTACCGAACGGCAATACAATAAATAACAGATGGCGCCTATTTTTGTATAAAATAATAGACACAATCTATTCTATTGTATCAAAATGAATAAACAAACTACAGGAGGTCGTTTTATTATAACTTAGTAGAACACTTCAAAAGATCGAAACTTTTAATTTAAAAATCTTAATTCATATAAATATATAAGTTATATTCAATCTACTTCGTAGTCACATTCAAAACTCATTTTAAGTATTATTCTTAACAGTATCATTCTCGTTCATCAATAGTTCATAACTATATACAAGTTTTTATTTTTATGTAACAATAATAAATACTCAAATTGTAAAACAAGTTTTGAAAGATATCATAGACATACTTTACATAGTATATTCAAGATATAAGCATAGAAATATATCAACTGATATCAGATGAATCACATTTTTTTTTTACATTCAAGTACTTTATTGCTGTCAAAAAAAAGCGAGTGAATAAATATAATGAAAGTTGACTTCTGTTTTTTTTTTTGCTTCTGCGTCGTTCTTTTTTTTTTCAGTCAAGTGCAAGGACATTTTCTTCTGACAGGACGTTTTTTAACAATGTAGTGATGTTTGAATGATAGATACGTGAATAAGAAATGAAAATGTTGATTTTGTATCAGATTAATAAAACATAATATTTAAGATTGAAAAAATTCGATACTAATTTTTACTAAGAAAATTAATTCAGAAACTATGATTTATTTTGTGTTTATGTCTGACATAATGAAGTACTGAGTTTATGTTCAATTTATCTTGTAAAAAAGATTTTTTCAACATTGACGAGAAATTTAACTAGTCGGAAAAAATTTTTCAAGTAATGATAAAGCAGATATATTGATTCATATTATTGTTTTCAAATCAGCGAACAAAATGTTTTAATCTAACGGATGTTTTTTCAACACAATTTGTTATAATCGTATCATTAATATTCAGATCATATTTATAATATAATTAATTCAATACTTACTATAACTACCGGACACTACAAAAAATTCTCTTTTAGTTATTTTTTTATAGTTTAAAATCACTGTATCATTTTTTAAGATAATCCTATAACATACAAATATCAATTGCGTTAATAGCATCATCGTAGATGTTTCAACTAATCCATTTGAGTATTGATACCTTTATCTGTTTATGTTCTTGCCCTTGGTTAATGGATATTTACGACACATATATATTTATGCACAGGACATTTGGAAAGTCATTGACCAAAAAGAAGATTGTATTTTTCCATTATGATTCTATTGAATGAATTAGCTTTTGTGTTAATGATAGAGAACATTTCCATATTTTTATTCCTAAATATAAAGTTCTGCATTACTTCCATAAATTAGCATTAAGTTCAATACATACTAGAGCTCTTTTACGAGGTGTAAAACACAATATGTAGAATTTTTTCTTGAATTTTGTTTCACTATTATGAATTTGCAGTCATTCAGACCTATTTCTCTTGTTTTATATTTCTTTAAAACAGTTTGTTCGTCCCATAAGTAAAAAATGACTTTGATAAAAATTAAACTAACATGGTTTTAAGATTCTTACGAACACTAGACTTCAGATAATTATTCTTCTTTTGTTAAAAATATCAAACAAATATTTCTAATGCCATTGATCAATGACTTTCTAAATATCCTATATATACATAAAATAATAGCTAAAATTTGTTGATCACTCAGAAACGACGAGTATTTATAATCGTCTTTACAAACACGTTTTGCTGCACGATTAAAATAAAATTATATAAAGAAGCTCATAGAACATGTAAGAAACAATATTCACGTGTAAAATCTGTTGTCAGGCAAATATATTTTCATTTAGTATGATATATAAAAATTTTCTATGATTTAATTTTCAATCTTGTTTGATTTATTATCTTTAGAAGATCAATAAAAAAATCAGTGTTTAAGTGTTTGTGCCGGGAATATATGTATATATATGTATTTATTCAAAACAAAGAAAAAGAGAACACTAAAGGCAAATAGAAAAGAAAAACAAACAGATAGATAAACAGTGATTTGCTCTCGCTTCAAGAATATATTTTCACAGTTTGACTTGACTACCTAAACCAGTGGCAAACAATACTTGTTTATTCTTTTTATTCTTTTTCTTAGTCGTAACATTGCTTGTAGCTTCACCGATTGGTGATACAGGATGTTCTTCACCATTGACTATAAAAAAAAAAAAAACAGGAAAAATCGAATTTCTTTTTCTTTTTGTCGATGTAAAAAAACCAAAAACATCTAAAATACAAACCAAGTTTAAGTCGATCAAAAACTTCTTCAAGACTAAAACTCGAACGAAAATTAGGTACAGTTGCATAATATTCTTCATCATTATTAAAATGATCTTCATCACTATCATGATTATCTTTCTTTTTTTTGTTTTTTTGAGTAGTTTTTTTCGAAATTTCAATAGTTGAACTTTTTTCAATAACTGATTTATTGACTGGAAATGGTTTGAATACAGGTGGAGCTTGTTGTTTAAGCATTTGTGCAAATGAAACACTTGTTGGAGGTGATAAATTTTCATCAGATAATTGAACAGATGCTGATGGTGGTGATGAAGATGTTGCACTACTAATCATAGCTGGAAATTCTTCCATTGAATTTGTTCCATTAATAGGAAAACTTTCTTGTGGTATATACATCATTTCAGGTGGATCTATGAATATAAACAAATAAGTTTTTAAAGAAAATATTTTATTAAATTTATTTACATTGAGATAATAGTTTTTGACTTTCAACGAATTCAGCTTGTTGTTGTCTTCGTTTTTCTAAACGTTCTTTTCGTACACGTAATTGACGACGACGATGAATTTCGTCTAAATTTTAGCATAAAAAAAAAAAACAATTTTGAAAATCAAAAAACAAAAAAAAATTATAAAACAAAAGTTTACCTGAAAAAACTTGCATTGTTCTAGAAGAAATTAATGGTGGATGAAAACGAATTTCGATAACTTGAAATTCACATGTTAATGGTAAATGACTTAGTGAACGAAATTGTGATCGAAGTTCCTTTAAGAAAATTTATTCAATTATTTGAAAATATAGATTTATTTTTGTTATATTAAAAACTAACTTCAGTCATAAAAAAACTTTCAATTGCTTCAACTCGAACATGCAATTCATCAGGACAATATTGATATGAACCATATTCATGAAGTAAAATTCGAGTATTTAATCCATTTAAATATGCATGATAAATATCATCCGCTAAAATTAGAATATTTTAGTTCAGATTTTTGATTCTATAGAATATATTAACCTTTATAAAAATAGTGTCGACTTGGTTGTACATTCGATGCTGATCCTGCACACAAAGGACTTTTATCTGTATAACACATAAAGATCGATATATACAAAAATATATCGAAACGAAAATACAAACCAGTAGGTGAAGATGCATTTGTATCAAGTTTTTCTTCAGTACTAATATCTAATTTTTCTTCTTGTCTAAATTCTATGATATTGTCAAAAGCATTATCATAAACTAATACAGGCTAAAATAAAATAAAAAAGAAAACATTATACAAATTTAATTGGTTATTTCAATCAAGAAAATTTTATGAAATTTTCTTTATTTAGATTTATTACTTGAGGTTTATTTAAGTAGTACAGAAAAGAAATCGGCAAATAATTAAAGTAGATTGTTATGAAGAGAGAAGAATCTTTCATCAATTGAACAAATTTCAAATGATGTCAAGTAAACAGACTCATTCTAATGATGGACAGCAATATATTATCCAAAATAGAATACTACTCGACTTAAAATAGTTTTTAATTTTACGAGAAAAACAAAATCCAATGATTTGTCAAATATAGTTTTGATATGAAATTTGGAATTGTGCAAAGAACTTGCTGCATTCTTTAACGATCTTATTGTCTTGTCTGTTGTCAATTATGAGTTCAAAAAAAAAAAAAAAAAGATTTATTTCATTTCTAGATTCATTAATATTAAAATCTACTATGAACATTCAATATTATATCTTTTAATATATTTCAATAAATGCGAAAACCTCGGATTTAAATCCGAGTGTTATGTGTACTTCAAAAAGTGAAGAGGTATATTCACTTTGTTTTTTATCAACTGAGGCATATCTAGGCAATTTGCTTTTTGCATGCAGTTTTTCTGCATTTTGAGACCTTTTTCAGGGGATGTTTTGTTAGAAAGCTACGATTTGGTTCAAAACTAATATCAAATTCGGAATCAGCGTTAAAAACTGAGTCGATTTGTATATGTTGTGAATAATTGTGAGAAAAA